TTTTAAAAAAAAAAAGCAGTGCAAAGTTGTGGATGGAATAGGGGCATTTAAATGGTACATATATTTGTGTACATGTAATTCAGAAAGCGTTCGTCAACAATTTCTTTGGTCATCTCATACAGCAGAACCAACAAGTTCTATGTATAAGACTGGCACACCGCAATCGCCAAGGTATTTTTAGTACAGACTAAAGAGTTGTGAAGGTGATGTAAAAACCGCGAGTAGAAGGATTAAATGAGAAGCGCATTTGAACATTCCAACTTTCCAGAACTGCAGTTATATAATGCAGCTACTAATTATTATACCAAATGCCAACAATAAGCCAGTGTTGTGAAACGCCATAAAAAATTAAAACAAAACTATAGCATAATATCGCTAAAAATTTAGTAAAAAGCGGGCAGATACATCTGTAACTATCGTAAATAAATCAAATGAGGTCAAAAATTTCATACAAAAAAAAAAAAAAAAGATGTAAAAAAGACTATTTTAAAAACTACAAAAAGTTGTGCTAAACATTTTACTTTAATTTTTTTTAGTTTTATCCGTCACTTTTGTCTAACTGTTTTTTCCCCATTTTCCTAATGTACCTTTTGAAAACCTAAGCATAACAGTTGTCGGCTTGTCTATTAACTTTTTCAATTAACCGTTATAAATTCTACCAAATTACTTCCGTATTCTTATAAAAAACGTTCCTTCATTATTTTTGCCTTCGTTTCCGACTAAACGAATAAAACTGTTATGAACTAAAAGCATTACATACAATCATATAATACCTAAGTATCCAGCATAACTTTGAATATAGTGGAAACAGTTGTTAGGTTTAGGCCACAGTAAATCGTCTAGAAATAAGGACTGTTCTTAAGATTTGCAACCACACTGAAGCATACCTACAGATTTTCGCCTCATTGCCACCCCATCTATCTCCCCTCATGGTATTCTACATGGTATTCGCCCTACTGTTTCTGATAAGCTCACCCAATAAAAATAATGAAGTTAACAAGGTTTCAAGAAATTAGTACACCACAAAGCTGTACAACGTTACAGATGACAAATATGGAACTGCATAACTGCTGAATAAACACATCAG